GTTCCACGAACCTATCCGGATTGTACTTGGATAACATTTATTTTTCCTTATTTTCTTTGTTTCCTCTATTGATAATCCCTTCATGTCCTCGTTCATCGCCATAGTTCTATTATCCTTTGATCCATCCCTGCTGATCGGCTCTAGTTTGCTGGTAGGTCTTTTATTCAGTTCCATCTCCATACTCTGTCATTAGTGTAACCTTCCAAAACTCCAAATTTACTTACCTTCTCTTACTTTACCTTCTCTTCGGGTGATTTTTTCTTTATTTCCTCTTGCATTATTTTATCAGGTTTGTCAAGTCATCGTTTATGTATATTTTTTCTTCTTTAAAGTCTTTTAATTTTCTTTTATTCTTATTAACTTCTGCCCTTGATTTTCTAGCTATAGCAGAAATGTTGCTTCTCCTATCTTAAGAACGGATTTAATCCCTACCTGTATATGTAAGGTTTCCTCTATCATTTTTCTCATGGTCGATTTCAGCACGTCCGGCTCACTAGCGTCTGTATCCAATTCTATTACGATTACGTTATCATTTTGCTTCTTTTTCTGTAGGTACCCAAGTCTGGTACTTAATTCTCGAACTTCTTTCCTTGTCTGTTTACTTTCCCTTCTAATAACTTTATTTTCTTTCTTCAATAATAATACTTTTAACTCTTCTGCATAAACTCTTTGTTCTCTTTTAATAGCCTTCACGTCTATGACCAACTGTTTAAGTATCTCCATCATCTCGTCTTTCATTTCGACTGCACTTTCCTTTATTGGCGTTCTATCGATCTTCCACTTCTCTTAAAGACCTCCTTTTCACCTTTATCTCCTCTTCGCATTCTCTTACCCTCATCCGTCACTTCGTCGGATGACAATTTTACTTTTACTCCGCTCTCCCCCAGTATTCAATTGCCTCTCGAACATAGCGTAAAGAGTTTTTTCCACTTTAACCCGCCCCGAGAAAAACCTCTTATCCTCCTTATTACTTAATTAGTTTACTTACTGCGTATAACGATTATTTTTAAATCGATACAAAATACTCAATAATCAAGAACTATAAATTTTTAAAATTAAATATTTTGTCTATGAAGCAAACTCGCAATCCTTCTAATAGGCAAATAAATATAAACAGAACTAAAAAATCGCTAACAGAGTCAAGCCCGGACTAGCCAGTCGCGCGCCGGCTCACGGTGCGCCTTTTTAGCATATTATATCAATTAAAAATATACGCTGGAAAAATGTTTGATCTTTTACCATAATGCAACTAACATTTCCCTAAAAAATGTTTTTAACCCTTTGTGTATTGATGAGCTAAGCGTTAAGACACACTTTAAACAAATGTTATGCTGTAGCTTGGTGTTCCTTGCGCTTAGACACAGTCAATATCAGTTTTTCAAGATTTTTAATAAAATGGCCGGTTTTCTAAAAATATATTGTATATTATTTGTTTGTATTTGTGTGGTACTGTTCATTGATGAATTTAGTACATTTTACACCTTGTAATTATGGTGGTGGCAGTGATGAGACACAAGGCAAATGCATGCTTTTTTGTTCCAGGCAAAAATAAACATTCCTATGCGATTTGGAACGTATCTCTCAAGAGGAAATCTTTACTCTTATTGAAGACATTCCATCTGATGTAGATTCAAATATTGATGACAGCTCCGATGACGATGAGGAAACAAATTTAACAACAAATATGAATCAAAGTATTTTTGATATAGAGTCTTTGCCGATTATCTTTGAAGACGCCGTTTCAGTGGAAAACCAATTTGAGGACGTTTTGGAGACAAATCAAATTAAAGCAGATGAAAGTAACGGTGATGATACTCCGTTGGATATACATAGAAGGAAATATTTTCTTTCAAATACAATTTGGACTAGAGACTCCCAAAATCCCAGACAATATTGATTCTCCTACGGATGTATTTCTTCAACTCTTTAAAAAGGACCTTATTGATAATATTGTCTTTCAAACCAATCCATATGCGGTCCAAAATAGCGACGGCGACAAGAATAGATTTACACAAACCAATGCAGAACAAATGCGAGTATTCTTAGCAATAAATTTACTAATGGGAATAAAGGGACTTCCTAGTCTGAGAGACTACTGGTCTTCCAGAGCGGATCTTGGAGATGTGTATATTAGTTCTTGTATGCCAAGAGATCGGTTTGTGTAAGAGATCCTTAGCAGTTTCTAGAAAAAGTTGTTTGGTTGGTACTGGCATATGCAAAGGCTGAAGTTTATCCCATACAACTGTAACCACCTCTCTAACAATGTTCCCTACAGTTGATGAACCCACTCGGAAACTAAATGACAAGGCTTTGAATGATGCTTCTGTGGCTAAATACCTGAAACCAAATAATATGTACCTGTAATAATAAAATAAGATAAATTCGCATAATTTAAATTAAGCTTCAGTATTCATAAATGTAGGTAGAATTCGACTAACCAAAATATAGTTAGTTTCGTAACACTGAACCTTCTTGTATGTGCATATTTTACCCATTTTTTCTTTTATTACAGAAGACAAACTGCGCAAAAAGTGGAAGTATTTGCGTGATCAGTTTAGTACAGAGTTGTCCAAAATTAAACGCCCCAAATCTGGAATTGAAGGTGGGGAAAAGCACACCAGTAAGTGGCACTACTTTAAATCGTTGTACTTTCTGAAAGACATCATTAAATCACGACCTAGCTCGGAAAATTTGACCCGAAGCTCATAGGGATCAAGAAAACTCTCAGTGCAGTGCATCTCCTGAGACAGCTCTTGATGCTACTGAGGATGAAAATAAGGATGTCGTCATTCAACATGAACAATCAATAGACACTGCCGATGACCAAGATTTATTAGATTATGCTGAAGTAGGATGACTTTTTCCGTTCTGACGATTATGCAGTATCGATTCCGCAAAATACTCCATCCAATACTCCTCCTACAGCAACAACGTCACAGATTCGTCCCAGCCAATGTTCAAACGTTGGCTGGGACGAATAGGCTGGGAATAGTTAAACGTCAAAGGACAAATGATTATACCGCATCTATGCTGGCAATAGAACGAAAAAAACTAGAAATCCTGGTTCGAAAGATCGATAACAAAGATTATGAGGAGGACTTGCATTTTTTCAAAAGCATTCTTCCGCACGTAAAAAAAATTATGTCAGAAAGAATTGTAGAATTTCGCAGGAGGATCCAACAATTAGTTCAAGAATTTGCGTATCCAAGTAATTTGCTTAGAATTCAGCCATTACTACCCGTGCAATCTCCTTCCGCACCACAGTCCCATGCTTCAACACCATCAACAACTCACAGTATTCCATCGGAACAAGACTCACAGTTTTATATTAGTAGATATGGATTTATGAAGGACAACGACCAATAAATACTATATGTAGTTTTTATCCTTAGCATTATTTTGTAAAAAAGCAATTTCAATAAAGTTATACTTACCTCAAACAAATGACTAATAGTTTTTCTGGAAGTATGGGTTGACGATGCCAGTTACACAACTTTTTTGATAAACTTTCTTCTACTTTACTCAGGATGTAATTAAATGTGTCCAACTTCATCCTCATGTATCTTAAGAATGACTGTGACTGTCCATTTTTAGCTGCGGAAAGAGGTGATGATACTCTCCCAATTCCCGCCGTTCACGATTCACAAGTAGACATTTTCTAATAAAAACATTTCATCTTCAGTTTCGGAATCCAACGACATCTTTCACTACGAAAAGTTATAAACAAACTGATGCTGCTGATATCCAACCAATATCCAAATAATAACCAACCAATAACCAATCCAAACTGATATCCAGCTTTTTACTTGTCCACGTAAAAGCAGGCAAGCGCTTAAAATAAGCGCTTGTCAGCACCAGCAATAAGCGCGTCAGTTCGCCGGCGTTCTACGTGTTCTTACCCTTTTAATATGAATATTCATAGTCAATATATAATTCATAGTCAATACTTTTATATTCTTACAAATTTACGAACAACAAATAATAGTAATCGCACAGAATTAATTTTCATAACAAAAGGTCGTTATTTATTCTTAAAACAATAAAAAAAAACAATATTTCGAACTTATTATGAGACAAATACATACAAATTAAAAATGTTTGGACAGGTTTTCAAAATCCCTGCTCATTGTGATATCAGAGCTCTGGTAGTCCATATGCCGCCCTATATAAAATGAATACAGAAAGTATAAAGATAGACGAAAATTAAGATAGTTATAAAGACTGAACTGAAGATCCCTTAGTTAGAACAGACAAACTCAAAGAAATGGTTTACTTAATAAAGTGACTTAAGTCAGACTAAAGTACTACTTGTGATAATGTAAAGAAAAGAAGATCTTCGGGGAATAAGGTTCTAGTTAGCACAGGAACATTTTTGCAATTAGAGAATATAGGATAGTTTTTTTCATGGAGGTCGTCTATTGTAAAAGTTTCTTCAGTTTCAGTTCTGTTTCAGCTTGTACAGGTCTAGTGGATGGATACCATATACGTTTTGGAGTAACTCGATAGAGTCCAAAAGGTATTTGTCGTTTGCGATCTAATGACTCACACTCATGCAAAATATGAACCTGAAGGTTGTTATGACTCTGAATATGAAGGAAGCCTGTTATGACTCTGAACTTCGTCCTGCTTGTTTTCCGCAGTAGTTCAGCTCTATCAGCACATGTTTGTCCAAAATCCTTTTGCCATGTTATTGACCGAGTTTATTTTCCCATGATAGTTACATTGTATACGGATCCAGGCTTTTTTCGGGTTGCAGACAAAGAATTTTGGCACTTCCACCGTTGGAATTATGAAAGGCTGATGGACGAGACGATTATTATTACTAGTATTGATTAATTCCTTATATCTGATTAACAATAATTGTGCAACTATACTGTACAGAGGGACAAAGTAAAAAGTACTGCTCTGTAGCATATTTGTCGTGAAAATATTACAAAATTGTGTTTTATTTATAATAGCCGTGATCTGTGGCAAATATAGATAATAATTAAATATCTATTAGAATTTATTTGACTAGTCTAGAAAATTGATATTCATAGAAAAATAAAATATTGTGCTGTATCGCTAAAACGTATTTATAGTGGTTTCTTTATTGTTAGGTCGGTTTGACATGGAACCCCACGAAATTTTGGCGTATATTCGAAAAGCCCTTCAAGCCAATTATTATACAAATTTTGCTGTAGAACTGGAGGGAAAAACTAAGAAAAATGAAGGATACGTGTCAGATATGATATTTGCGAAAATTAGATTGGCTGATACTGGCAAAAACCTGCATTTGGCCATAAAATTTTCAAAAAAATCTTTGCGAAAATTCGAAGTGTATAAAAATATTTACAAACACGAACTTCTATTCTATACGGACATATTGGAATTGTTTAATGAACATCAAATTAAGCAAAATGTTTCGCAGCCGTTTCATGCAGTGCCAAAATGTTTTGCCACCTTCTCCGACGAAAATGCAGATACTGTATTTCTAGACAATTTATACAAGCATGGATTTGTCGTACGTGATCGAAATTTAAGCATGGATTTGACTCATCTTGAACTATTAATGAAAACTTTTGCCAAATTTCATGCACTTTCCCTTTCTTTAAAAGAACAACAAAATAAGTCGTTTCTGAAACTGTTAGAGGATGATTTTATAACTAAGAAAAATACTGTGGCTGACTTTGGCTTACAAGATTTTTTTAATACAAGTGTACTTAAAGTTGCAAATATTTTAAAAGGAGCAAAACGCACAGATTTATCTGCAAAATTTGAAGCGTTACTAGAAAAGGGAATGCCCAAAATTATATCTGATATCCTTAATGACACCCCTGAGAAATCAGTGATAATACATTGTGACGGCCACAATAACAACATTATGTTCAAATATAAGGTATTTTTTTTATTTTTTTTATATAATTTTATATATATAGGTATATGTATATATATATATATATATATATATATATATATATATATACATATATACATATATATATATATATATATATATATATATATATATATATATATATATCTATATATATATATATACTGTGTGTCCAATTAAGTCGGTACCATATGGGAAACTTTTATGGCTTCAGTTTTATGAAAAAAATTAAGGTAAAAAATAATTATACTGTAATTTTCACGATGTTTTTACCAAAAAAAGGGACCAACATTATTTTGAGCGTAACTCTCTTAGTTTTGAGGCTAGAAACTTAAAAAACAAAATACAAATAAAGCTTTTTTTAACACTTTCAAAAAGTTTTGAGGAGTTTCCCCGCAAAAGTGCTTCATTTTTGGTATTTCATGTTGAAATATTCGATTTGGAATTTGACAAATAAGAACCTACTTTTTCATGAACTACAATTATGCTTCTAGTAGATCTACAGACTTTAGAGGTACATCATTTTTTTATTTGTTATAAGCTACATTTTTACTATAAATATTTTTTCGATACATACTTACTTTTAGAGTTATTTATAAAAAACGGTCTAAAATCGTGGATTTTATTTTAAAATATTTTCACTGACAATTAACTCAAAAAGTTTGACTTAATGAAAAAACTCTGTAAAATAAAAATTGCTTAGAATTAGTCAATTTATCCATTTCTGGACTTATTTTGAACGAATGTTTTTTGACCTCCGTGAAGGTGGCTTTCATACTTCATAAAAAAGGGGATGCTACCGACCTCAGGAATTACAGGCCCATAAGTCTACTTTCACATATTTATAAACTATTTACAAAAATAATTACGAAACGACTAGAAAATAAATTGGAATTTTATCAGCCCATAGAACAGGCGGGTTTTAGAAAAGGCTATGGAACAAACGATCACCTAGTGGTAATAAAACAACTCGATCTGTTGTTATCAACAGGTCCTCGTAGACACTTCGTCTCAGGACCATTTTACTTATGTAGAGTCATACGCCGCCATGTTACCTATCCAACGGTAACTTAAACATCACAAATTATAACTATTAATAATGTAAAACAACTACAAATTTAAAACATTTAAAGGGTTTTGACCCATATATTTTGGTGGCTACTAGCATGTACAACCGTTTGTACTGATGATGGATTTATCAATCCGAAAACGTTTTGCAATGTGTTTGTGATAGCCCGTTTGGGGCATTTTTTATATACCTTTTATAAAGGATTTTAAACAATTTTTTGTGATATATGGTATACAGCCAGCTACAGGAACTTAGTCTCCTAGTGGAATTTATGAAATGATGATCTTTTTTCCGGTAATCCAGTATCTTTTTCCAACGTAAACGCCAACAGAGTATGACGACGGTAGACATGACACTTTGGCAATGTGGAGGGGATACGAGTACGGGTTAGTTCATTGTAAAATTCATGTTGTTCATTGTGTTATTCTACCATGGGTTATCAAAATATGACAATTGGCGTGTAACATAACTGTGCTTAATGTTCTTCTGCGCATGTTTAAATAAAGTTTACTCATACTTTATATTGTTTAATTCTGTGTTTGTTTATTTTAGGATAATGCCCAAGAAGAACCAATTGATATTGCTCTTATAGATTGGCAACTACTCAGATATCATTCTCCTGTCCTAGACTTATCGTTTACGTTGTATTCAGTTGCATCTAAACCAGAGATTACTGAATCAAGTGTTTTGTTGAAATACTATCACGAAGAATTGTCAAAGTTTTTAACGGAATTGGGAAATGACACCATACGTGTATTTCCATATTCTGTATTAATGGATCATTGGAGAAAGTATTCTTTATATGGATTTGCGTATGCTTGTTGTTACATGGATTTTAATTTTGTTGAACTTGAAGATGCTCCATCATTGGACAATTTGGATGATATAAGTTCTGTATCACAAAATCTATCTGTTATTAATTTAGAAAATAATATTATGTATACAGAAAGATTAATAGCAATTGTTGAACATTATTTTAATAATATTGACTTGTAGTTCCTATATTCTTAATTTTTTTAAATAAACAAGATTTGTAATAAAGTATTCAATTTTTAGTAACATGTCTAAACAGAATATTTTCCAAAATATATCTACTAAAAAAATACTTCCATCCAACTAATTGACTAATCTGAACCATAAAACTGAAATTATTAATGGAGAGTAACTTACGTAACTATATCAGCAAAAATATATCCGAATACCGACATAGGATCAGATAACAACCCAGTAATGACCAAAATTGTAACGATCATTTTGCCTACCACATCGGGATCATTATAGAGGGTCGAAAATTGGGGACTGAAGTTATTGGGGTGGAGATAGGGCAAGCAAAATAAGCAAGACGGCATTGGGTAATTGAGGAATAAACGGAATTAAAGGGATTTGCTTAGAAGAGATTGTCGTCTTAGGGTGAAAGGTTCATTGGATTCACGGTACATGCTCTCGATGGGACTAGATCGAAAAGTTCCTAGACATAGACGAAGCGCGCTATTGTGAACAGATTTTAATAAATCTATGTCCGATCGAGAGGCAGAGAAATAGATAAGGCTACCTTAGTCGAGTTTAGATCGGATGAAAGCTCTGTAGACTCTTAATAAATTAGTTTCAGCAGCACCCCATTGAAGCTGACTGAGGGTTTTCAGAACATTCAGCCTGTTAAAACGAAGTTCAGAGATGTGATTCTTCTAATTTATTCTGAGGTCAAATATTAAACCGAGAATTTTACATTGATATAGAGATAGTGGAAAATTGTTGAATAAAATATGGTGTAAAAGAGTCGAGGTCCTTCTGAAAAATGTTATTACTTTGGTTTTGCTCTGAGATAGTGATAATCCTGGTTCAATAGATCTATCTTAAAGTGCATCTCATCAAAATCTTTTTTATAATTGTTTACTTACAAATAATTGAAACATACTGAAGTACCATTACCATTATAATGGCAATATCCCTAACTTATGGCAGTATATATTATATTATTGGTTTGTTTTAGGATAATAACAAGGAAAATCCACATGATATGGTTATCGTAGATTGGCAAATAGTCAAATATCATTCTCCAGTTCTAGATTTATCATATACTTTGTATGCAGTTGCATCTAAACCAGAAATTAGTGAAACAACAGCTTTGTTGAAATACTACCACGAGGAGTTAACAAACTTTTTAACGGAATTGGGGAATAATGCCAATTCTCTATTTCCATTTTCTTTATTAATGGATCATTGGAGAAAATACGCTATATATGGATTTGCGAATGCCTGTTGTTACATAGATTTTAATTTTGTTAATCCAGACGATGCTCCATCATTGGATAACTTAGATGATATAAGTTCAGTATCAGAAAATTTGTCGGTTATTAATTTAGGAAACAATCAAATGTATACGGAAAGACTAATAGCAATTGTTGAACATTATTTTAATAATATAAACCTATAAAATGGATTTTATTATTGTATCTTTAAATATATATGAAAGAAACAATAAAGTGTCTGAATTATAAATTTATATGAATGTTGGTAGTATTATATTGTGGTGTTGACTCCTCAACCGGCGAGCCCAAAGTGTTTCACTTCGGAAAAATAAAGACTGTACCTTTTGTTCTTTATTGATAACTTAACAGTAGATTGTAACTCTATAATAAATCTGCATATGGACAAGAAATACAAACAAGAACTCTTTCATGATAATAGGTCCGAACCACCTCCATCCTTCATATGTAATGACCACTTACCAATCACTGACTGGAATGGAGCTACCAAAGAATGGCTGTACAATTAGCTGAAAGGAATCATGTTCAGCACCCTTTCAAACATGAAATGGCTGGGCAAAAATTGACAAGTCTTTTTTTAAAACGCCACAAAAAGAAGTTATCAGAACGGAAACCAACTGGCACGTTCTTTGGAAGAGCTTTAGAATTCAGTAAAGAAAATACCGATAGATTTTTTAATCTTCTAGAAGAGGTTTATGACAAATAAAAATTTACCCCTGATAGAATTTTCAATGTAGATGAAAGTGGTATATCTATTATACAGTCAATAGTGGCTAAAGTAATTGGTTTGCGTTGAAAAGGGCAAGTTGCTGCACTGATATCTGTTGAACGTGGATCTCTCATTACAATCGTTGTAAGCGAAAATTCGAAAAAAATACATTTTTCGCACTAAATTGTTAATAACTAAAAAAAAATGCCGAAATTTCTGCAAAAAAGGTATAGGCTTGCTTACTATAGGTATATATTATAGGAAAAACTTATGAAATATCTGGCTACTGAAATGTCCTGAGAAAAACTTATTTCCCTGGACTACTTATCGTAGATTGCGCTGTTGTTACCTTTAAGAATTCAATTAAACATTCTTTTAAAAATTTAAGGATCTTCCCATTCCGGTCCTGTTCAATACGATATTTTTTGACTGTCGAAATTGTGTAACTTTACGAAATATTTTGTGACTCGGGTTTCGAAGAGAAACACGGGGCGGGACATACCACATGATGATGGCATTGAAAACGCGCGTGGCATTGAAATTTTTAGTGTTATCAAAATTACTGTGATTGTGATCTGTGGCACATGTTTTCACATATAACAACAATTAAGTGTTTAAATATCAGCATATAATTAATAACAATTAAGTGTTATAGTAGTGTATATGTATATAGTACCTATTGAAAAGTATCGTGATATCGAACTGATTTAATTTGGCTTTGTTTATGCAATATTCCATACATTTTTAATATGGAAAATGACAAAATTGTAAGTTACATTCGAAAAGCACTTAGAGCCAACGATTTTGAATGTTTTTCGATCGAACTGCAAGGAAAGACTAAGAAAACTGAAGGATATGCATCAGATATGGTATTTGCAAAAATTAAACTAGATGATTCTGACAAAAAGTTAAAAGAATATCATTTGGCCATAAAATTTTCAAAACCGTCTATGCGAAAATTTGAAGTATTTAGAAATATATATAAAAACGAACTTTTATTCTATAAGGATATAATGGAATTGTTTAATGATCATCAGAATAAACAAAATGTTTCGCAGCCGTTTAATGCAGTGGCAAAATGTCATGCCACCTTCTCGGATGAAAATGTGGACATTATATTTCTAGAAAATTTATATCAGCAAGGATATATATTACATGAACGACAATTCAGTATGAATATGAATCATCTTAAATTATTAATGAAAACTTATGCCAAACTTCACGCTCTTTCTTTTTCTTTAAAAGAAAAACAAAATGAGTCGTTTCTGAAAATATTAGAAAATGATCTTATAACTAAGAAAAACGTAGACTTTGGTACGTCAGATTTTTTCAATACCTGTGTGGTAAAAGTTTCAAAAAATTTAAGAGAAGCGAACCGATCGGATTTGTCTACAAAATTTGATGAGTTAATGGAAAAAGGAATATCTGAAATCATATTTGATGTTATCGTTAACCAAAATCCTGAGCCATCTGTTATAGTACATTGTGATTGCCATAATAATAACTTTATGTTTAAATATAAGGTATTTATTTTATTTTTATTGTAATAACTAATATTTAAAATAGCTTTAATCAGTCATTTCATTCTCATGACTTTCAAAAAGCTCAAGAGGGATTCCCATTGTTTGGTATGTTCTATCTAGTTTCCCATTTTTTTACAGTTTATTATGCAGAATAATTGTATCTACAATTGTATTCTCCTTCTTTGCCTCATCCCATATCAATTAATTATTATTTTTATACATGTAAATTGACCAGTGGTTAATCTAGACATTTGCCTTGAAAGGGGAATTTCCAACTTGGGGGACTGACACCAGGAAACACCAACCAAAAGACATAAATAATAGGTTTTCTTTAATATTGAACGTTCTTGGGCGAAGGAAGGACTTTCTTTATTTTCCCCGTGTACCCACCACTAAAATTGACTATGTTGGATCATCTGCTAGTTTTTATTTTTTTGTTGCATTATAGTAGTAAGGTTTTACCCACAATCAAATATCACAGGGCTGCTTATCTGGTGTAAGTTTGTAGATACAATGTCTGGAAACTAACTTACAAACTTCTTCTTCTTCTTCAAGTGCCATCTCCGCGGCGGAGGTCGGCAATCATCATAGCTATTCGGACTTGTGAGACGGCTGCTCTGAAAATTTCATTTGAGAAGCCTCCCTAAGCTTCTCCTTGGATCTTTCCCTGCATAATCCGTTGGAGCAAGGTGTATTTCTCTCCACGTGCAATATGTCTGAGAGATTCCAATTTTCTCGTTTTAATTGTATTTAAAATTTCTACTTCTTTGTTCATCCTTGTCAGAACCTCTTTATTTGTGACGTGTTCTGTCCACGATATTTTCAGAATTCTTCTATACACCCACAGCTCGAATGATTCCAGTATATTTTTTGATGTCGCATTCAAGGTCCAAGATTCCGTTTCATAAAAGAAAGTCGAAGAAACATAGCACCTCTCCAACCTAACTCTTAGTTGCAGTTTTAACGCCTTGATACCTAGATTTCTTCTCATTTTGTTGAAATTTGCTCTGGCCTTTTCTATTCTGATTTTGATCTCCTGAATGTAATCATTTGTGGAGTTAATCATTGTTCCCAGATATGCATACTTATAATACAATATAATGATAAATTGATGATAAACACAAAAATAAAAAATATAAACTCTGACCTACAACCAGAAATAAGTAAAACAGAAATCAAGAAAGCAATTCAAGAATTAAAAAATCATAAGTCACCTGGAAAAGATGGAATAACTGCAGAGATGCTGAAGAGAGGAGGGAAAACAACTAGAGAAGTCCTACATATCCTCATGAACACAATATTGACCACAAAAGAAATACCCGATAGCTGGAACGATGCGGAGACACTATTAATGTTCAAAAAAGGTGACCGAAAGAACTTAGAAAACTGTAGACCTATAACATTACTAAGTGTTGTATTTAAACTACTAACGAAGATCATGACAAATAGACTACCAACTAAGCTTGACGAATACCAAGCAAGAGAACAAGCGGGATTCAGAAAGGGTTTTAGTACTAGCGACCATCTGCTAACAGTAAAAATACTGATTGAAAAGTCGAACGAGTATCAAATCACATTATACATGGCATTAATAGACTTCCGAAAGGCGTTTGACAGCATAGAACATTGGGCCATTAAAAACTCACTACAGAACGGCAGAATTGATTACAGGTACACGGACCTAATAACAAACATATACAGCAAACTATAATCTTTAGAAGCTCGGGAACTGATGGCAGACATGCTCTCTATTCTCGGCAATTCTCAGGTAGGATGCCGATGTAAAGGTAAGTTTAGATAGGATGAGTAACAGAGCACGACCTCTAAATTCATTTTCGGGATGGATCTGCAAAACGCTTGTAAATACTGTCATCCACACTTATAAAATCTATAGTCGACCTGTTATGGAGTACAAGTCGAACATATTGTCTCTTAAAGCCTATCAGAAAAGAAAACTAGTGAGTACCGAACGTTGTATCCTGTGTAGAGCAAAATGCAAAACCTGGCGTTCCTTCCAGCTAAATCCTTAACATCTCGAATATTGCCACAATCATCGAGAAGATAAACTTTTGGAACAGAAATGTTACCCTCAAAGTCATCAATGGGTAACATTCCAGAACCCAAGACACCTGGAATCGTTCTGTTCATTTTTCTCAAACGTATAAGCTCACAAACCTAAAATCAAAAAATCTACTGTCAAATTTTGTGCAAACTTGCATCGGCGAACTTCCGTACGAGTACACAAATCGCCTTGAGCCACCCGGTTAGCAAATCTCATCTTCATTGCCTAATCTCACCTTTTAATTTCAAACAGAGCGAGATTGGTTCTTACGGTTTTCCAATCTCATTGCACCGCTCTGCTGCATAGCATCGCTCTCGAATTTGCTAAGCAGTCAGCTACTTTCTCTTCCGATCAGAAAGCACATCTCACTTCAGGATGGACTTTTCGAACCTTCTTGTGTACAACTATACAAACCAATTAACAACAAGCCCTGAGGAGGAATATAAAATGCCTAAACAGAGAAAATATCACAAATGTTCTAATTCTAAATATAAATAAAGTTTCCTTCCTAAAAACAGTTGATTACGTCCAATCAATAATTCCAGATCCAAGTCGACATCCTAATACTATACACCATTACAATATAATACCGGCCACAATAACTACTCATTGAGAATTTTTAGTTTTAGTATATTTATATGCAATTTTTATATATTTATTACTTTTTTACTTTAGGATAGCAACAAGGAAAATCCACATGATATGGCTATTGTAGATTGGCAGGTAGTCAGGTATCATTCTCCAGTGATAGATTTATCATTTATTTTGTATTCAGTTGCATCTAAACCAGAAATTAGTGAATCTCCAAGTTTGTTAAAATACTACTACGAGGAGTTAACAAAGTTTTTAATGGAATTGGGAAATGATGTCCGTTCTATTTTTCCATATTCTGTATTATTGGATCACTGGAGAAAATATGCTATATATGGATTCGCGCATGCCTGTTGTTACATGGATTTTAATTTTGTTAATCCAGACGATGCTCCATCATTAGATAACTTAGATGATATGAGTTCAGTATCAGAAAATTTGTCGGTTATTAATTTAGGAAACAATCAAATGTATACGGAAAGACTAATAGCAATTGTTGAACATTATTTTAATAATATTAACCCATAAAAAGAATTTTATTAGTTTATTTTTTAAATATATATGAAAGAACCCATAACGTGTTTAAATTTTTTAAGATAATATGAATGGTGGTAGTATTATATTATTAGTCAGTTTAATAAACAATTTAAAATACAACAGAAAAGTGATAATTGTGTTTTGATAAATGGGCTGAATAAAATTGTATGAAATTTTGCATGATCCGAGAAAAAAATCCACACAATCTACTTTTTCTTCTTCTTCTTTTTATGGAGACTTAACTCTGTTTGTTTTTCAATGTGCCTCCAGTAAGTTGTCTTTCCATCGTTTTGGTGGTCTTTCTACTGATCGTCCTCCTATTGGGGAACCGTCTCTTGACGTCTTTACTACTCTGTTGTCATTCGACTTACTGCAATGGCGTAGCTAGGGTGGAGCAAGAGGGGCGTTCCTCCCCGGGTGTCACCCGTTCGGTGGGTGACAGCTGAGAGACCTGATCACAATAGAATGAATCGTTAATTTGTAACTTTACTCACTTTACAATCAAAATACAATTCGATATTATTTTGTGAATATACGAAACCGCAATTTTTAATTTTTTTTCTGCTTCCACTAGTCACTGAGAAGTGCTTATTAAACACAGCAAACCATTTGTTAAACGACTTTTTACAGTGCGTTGAAGTGCTTACTATGCTGCAGTTAAGGTATTGGTAGAACATTCTGATAGTGGTGTTACTGCAATTCAGGAATTATGTCATCAACAAGACAATTGCGACACCAGAAATGCTGCACTTATCCTTATGCCCGCCGCTGTGTGTAATTTCACGTTTCTTTTTTATTCTTTCTTTTGGAATGATGTACTAAGAGAAATATTTTTTGTTAGATTGAATTGCAAAGTAAAGGTAAAAGCGTTGATCAATCAGCGACCTAATTGGGGGTCTTCGTCTATATATTGAAGAAAAAAGTGGTCATATTATAGATGAAGCAATAAATTTTACCACAAAAAAATGTGAAGACTACGACATTCCCAACGAAAGACGACTTCGACGTCAAAAATGAATGGATAGTGAGTTAGCTACCGATATAGGACTCACTTAAATTGATTACTCTAAAATTATTCATTCAAAAATATTACAGAAAATCGTAAAATTGACAGTGAAAGATCTATATGAAATATTTCTACATAAAAAATATTTCTTTGATTAAGATTTTGACTAAAAAATGCAAACAATTGGATGGACAATTTCATACCCTGAATGGGACGAAATTGATCACCCCTTTCACCAAAGTGAATGAAACGATTTTTTTAACATAATATGTAATGCCGGCCGATCATGTTCATTCCGCGTTATAAATATTTTTCAAAAAATGTAAGCATTCTGAAAAATGTATACTGGGGTGAAATTGATCAATTCAATTTAAATCAAAATTTGCTTTTCTATAGATTTATTTTATTCACACAAAAAACAAAAGTATGCTAATACGTCCTAAATTAGATTTCACAAACCAAAGGTATCAATGATAATAAAAAAACTGAACCAAAGAACCATATTCATTGAAAACCAATATTTTCTAAAAATTGTAATCGTATCAAACAGATCATAAAAAGTAAACTTTACTTTCTTCATATTCTCTAGGTAACTTATTTAAAACTTTCTCGGGTGAGAAAGGGTAAATTCATAAGACCATGAAAAAGGGGTAAAAATCACTAAGAGTTTCCCTCCAACCCATCTGAAAGGGAAGGAAAATAGCTACATCTTTTGTTTAAAAAAAATTTGTTTAATTTACTAACATGGACGTATAAATACGCACATATTCCTCCCGCGATTTGGGCTTCAAGTACTAATTCTATAAATCGCACTAATAATAGACGTAATTCCTTTCATTTTAATTTCATGAATGTTTTTATTCGCCACATCGCAACATTTTCCATTTCAGAATATTTACCATAAAATTGTAATCTACGTTAAAAGCCAATTTGTCAGTAAAAAAAGTAACAAAAAAAAAACAAAAGAAAATAAAAAATAATACATAAAAAATGATTACTATGACCTCAAAATATCTTGTTATAATATTATTTTGTAATAAAATTTTATAAAAGTTTGTCTTCAAATCTTGTTTGTATGTACCCTTGCTAAGTTGTGAATTAATTATTCAATAAATAATATTACCTACTCTGGTATACCGGTATTATTCTAATTACCCCATAACCGCACTGAATAGAAGACCGCCCACTTGCTTTATTGTATTCGCGATAGCCAATTCCGACAGGGGCGCTGAAGATTTTAAAGATAGACGATAACTTCGGGAAAACAAATCATTCGTTTAATATAAATCATTTACACGTGTGTTTTGCTAAAGTAAAAGTTGGAGTACGTTCTTCAAAGTTTATTTGTTTGTGATTCGAGTTTATACATAAGGAAATTGACTCCCCAACCTGAATAAAAATAAAAGTTTGTTTTTCTACAGTACCTATGTCTGAAACACGGGAAGTAAAATTTACATTATCTTAATTATTTATATGTTTGCAAGATCGGCAGGGATCTTTAGTTGAGGGTGAGGCAGTTTTTGGAGCTGGCCACGTTATATTTTGTAAATTACGCCTAACGTTTTCTACTAATAACTTCATGAGACCGTTGGGGCAATTTAGTTGATGGAACAGCATTTTTCTTCAGTCTTCCTAATTTAGTTTCAGGTGTTACTATAAAATAAATTAAGTATAAATATATTAAAATATAAATAATATTTTAATCAACACTTGGAAAGTAATCGTTCTCAGTAAAATGTAAACTGCACACAGTCACGTACTTGGTTATATGTTTGCCAATTCACAAAATGCATTGCCAAACTTTTCTCATATTCTCGTCCAGCGGAAACTTATGTATGGAATTTTTTTGTTAATTATAATATGATGAATATTGAGGAACACTGCAATAGTTTTTTGAAGTCGAAGTCATTGTTAATTAAATATAAATTAAATTATAAAATAATGACAATTTCAATGTTTTCCCGAAGTGGATGCTTTTGAAATCTACCACCACGCGTCGCCCACTTTGCGGTTCATTCATCGGCAATAGACCCAAGACTTTTCAAATAAGTAGGTATAAAGGCAAATTCTAGTACAAGATGACGTTTAGAATATTCTTCGTAAATGGATTTTGTTTTCGTAAAGAAAATGGATTTTTGAAATAGATATCGCACTGACTTAAAAGATTTTTCGAGCAAGGAATTTATTCAGTTTTTATTAGCTTCAATTTTGGTAATGACAACTTTTTTATAAAAACTTATAGTTTTTGAGTTATTTATGAAAAACCGCTTTAAAACATTATTTTTTTACGAAAAATCAAAATCTTTGATCTTCAATAACTCAAAAAGTATTGATTTATTTTAATAACTTTATAAGATAAATTTTGTTTAGATTTGGTCGTTCTATCGATTCCTGGGGTTATTTTTAATAAAATAATTTCCACCCCCGAGAAGAGGTGGCATCCACCCCCAGGGTAAAAGCGCAAGTTGGCACCATGTTACTTTTGTTTTTTAAGGTATCCTCTAACTACTCACCAATTTTCATGAAAGTCGATGGAGTTTCCACGATATCGGAGTGAAAACCTTCAATCTTCAGTGACTGTACTATAATTTAAAATTAAAGATTCTTAAACCACAGATCACCTACCTCCTAGACACAGACCACCAGTGGTCACTGGTCTGTGTCTTAAACGAACTTAGGTAATATAAGCTAAATACCGCTAATGGCAGGTAATTCATTGGATTGAAAAACGAAGATAATTTAAGGTAATTGAATGAAAGGAAACTAAATTACTAAGAATAGTTCACGAATTGCGTTCATAGAGGTGAGTAACACATGAAAATGGACGCAAAACAACAAAAAGAACAAGAAAGAGGACTCTTCAAAAAAAGGCGCAACTGTTTTATATATGTACCTACATGAAAAAAACCAGAAATGGGATAATCATAAAGCAAAGACCAAGTCGAAAAATATTGATATGGATACCAAAATTGAATGAAATGCGTGTACATATATTCTTTGGTTTTATTGTTCCGGTCCTGTTCAATACATCTTTGTATACAATCGACATTGTGCAACGTTACGAAATATTTTGTACCTAGCAACCGGCACCGGCAACCTACCATAATAATTATTATTTCGACCCGGATTTCGGAAATCGGAAAGACACAGGAGACAGCACAGACACAGCTGTTTATGATGTAATGTAATGAAAACTCGTGTGGCATTGAGATTTTTAGTGTTATCAAAATTACTGTGATTGTGATCTGTGGCACATGTTTTCACATATAGATATCAATTCAGTATTAAAATATTAGTATATATTAATAAAAATAGAAGTGTAAACGTGTTTCAGTTGTTTATACAGTATTAAAACGTATTGTGATCTGTTACAACTAATTAATTTTGCCAGCTTAAAGTGTTAAGGTGCTATTTTGTGTATATATACCATTGAAAAATATCGTGGTGCGTTAAAACTGATTAATTTAGCTTTTGTTTATTCAATATTCGTTACATTTTCAATATGGAGGATCACAAGATTGTAAGTTACATTCGAGAAGCACTAAGAGCTAATTATTACGAAGATTTTTCGATTGAACTGCAAGGGAAAACTAAGAAAACTGAAGGATATGCATCAGATATGGTATTTGCAAAAATTAAATTAGCTGATACTGACAAAAAGTTACAAGAATATCATTTGGCCATAAAATTTTCAAAACCAGCTATGCGAAAGTTCGAAATGTTTAGAACTATATATAAGAACGAACTTTTATTCTATAAGGATATAATGGAATTGTTTAATGATCATCAAAATAAACAAAATGTTTCGCAGCCGTTTAATGCAGTGGCAAAATGTCATGCCACCTTCTCGGATGAAAATGTGGACATAATATTTCTAGAAAATTTATATCAGCAAGGATATATATTACATGATCGACAATTCAGTATGAATATGAATCATCTTAAATTATTAATGAAAACTTATGCCAAACTTCACGCACTTTCTCTTTCTTTAAAAGAACAACAAAATGAGTCGTTTCTGAAAATATTAG